ACACACACACACACACACACACACACACACACACACACACACACACAGACGTCCCTTTCTGCCCAGCTTCTTCCTGCTAGGCCCCTGACTGGATGGTGTCTGCAGGCAGGAGAGCAGGGGCAACAGGATAGATCCAGTTTTTCCCTAATAGGTCACAGCTTCTGTTTCTACTACAGCTACAAGGCATTGCCATCAGCTTTCTTCCTCCATGGGGTCCCCAGCTTCACATCCCAGGTCCCCAGCAAGCGGCTCAGAGATGTTGAGAGAAACAGCCCCACCAGTTGGGAACCTGATGTACGTGTGTGTGTGTGTGTGTGTGTGTGTGTGTGTGTGTGTGTGTGTGTTGGAGATATTGCATTCAAGCCCCATGGAGCCCAGCTGTTTTCTCCTTTCCTCTCTCCTGCCCCCCACACACAACATACAAGCATTGCCTGAACACATTTGAACACCTTCCCTGTAGTTTCTAGCTGAGAGTCAGATCCTCTGTTTTGCATATTTTTTTTTATTTTTCTGTGCTTTCAGAAGCAACAATGCAATTCAACAAAACTGTGGAGCCAAAATCAGGGAAAGGAACTCTCTTCCAAGCTGCAGGGTGCACTGAGCTTGTCCCTTCCGCCTAAGCAGAGACACAATGAAGTTGACTGTTATTCCCAAAGTCTACATTGGCCTCTAAGTGGAGAAACCAAGATTCAACCTGAGATGTAACTGATTAAAAAAAAAACTTAATTTAAATCATTATAGTGTGATTTCCTCCTCCCTGTAGCTTCCGTAAATTGTTGCAGAATTTAAATTTAAATTATGCATAATCTCAGTTATCAGACCTTAGATATCGAAGATATCCCAAGAGTAGAACTGGGTAGACAGGTGAACAGACAGACAGATGACCTGCAGATAGTATAGAGGTGGTAGGAAGATTAGTGATTGATAGATGATGCATAGATAACTGGCAGGCTTTCTGTCCCTTGAGTTGGCATAGCTAGCTGACAAGCTTTATGTCAACCAGATCCATCAGAGGGGGGAGAGCTCCGATTGTGAAAATGCCTCCGTAAGACCCAGTTGTAGGGCATTTCCTTAATTAGTGATCAACGCGGGAGGGCTCAGCCCATTGTGGGTGGGACTATACCTCAGCTAGTGGGTTTGGGTTCTATAAAGAAAGAAGACTGAACAAGCCGTGAGGACCAAGCCAGTAAGCAGCACTCCTCCATGGCCTCTGCATCAGCTCCCGCTTCCAGGTTCTTGACCTTGCTGGTTTTGATGATGAACTGTTATATAGAACTGTGAGCAAAATAAACCCTTTCTTCCCAAAGAGATCATGGTGTTTCCCTAAGACAATAGATGATAAGGTGGTAGCTAGATTATAGGCAGATAGGAGATAGGTAAGTAGGTAAATAGATGATAGATAGTTAGATAGATAGATAGACAGACAGACAGACAGACAGACAGGCAAACAGACTTACCTAGATCCAGCTTAGATCATCAGTCTGAAGGATCCAAGGCTGCTTTGGGAACCAGATGGCTAGAACTAGAGCCAAGCAGAAGTCTGCTCCTTCCCCACCAAACTGGACTGCAGTGTTTTTATGAGCTTGCCAATTTATTCATCATCCTTATATTCTCGATTCTGCTAGATAAAAACTTGGGGATAGGAGGCTGGAGAGGAAGAAGTGAGGGCTAGAAAAAGACCTTGCTACTCACCCCAGGTTCTAGTGAACTTAGGGACGGCATAGAGAGTGCAGTCCTCCATAGGGGCCAGTGCCAATAAATTCTCCCAATACCAAATGATACTGTCTCGATGATAGGACGAGAAAGGAGAATAATACACATCACCCACATGCTTGGATTTCTGCAGAAAGTATCCTCTGGCAGGAGGCAGAGAGGCCTCCTTCCCAGCATGAATTAATTCAAAAATGGACTTGAGTTGCCCCACCCCTGTGAGCTGCACCATTTCACATTCCTGATCAAAACTGCAAGGAAGCCTCTAATTTTCACTTCAGAAAATGCTCACTGTGAAGAAATGCATTGGGAATTTAGCCAGAAGGAATGTTTATGTTAATTTCTGTTGTGGAGACAGGGTAAGGGAATAAAGGGGGAAAAAACTAAATTAAAACCATTTCAGGACCAAATAGTCACCAGAGTCGTTTTCATTTTCTCGCAAAACAAACCCCCAGATGTGCCCAGTGACACCAGGAAACCGTGCAGAGGTTTCTGCTTTGAGGAAAGATTTGTGGACTAGGAGCTAGGGTCATGCACTGAGGGCACAGCAAAGGCAGAGGCAGAGACACGCTGCATGGCGAGTGAGCTCTACATTCGGTGATGGATTCACCCATCTAACTCAGTGGCCCTTCTAGAAGAGGACAATCTGTGGCTGTCTAAGTAGCGCTGGCCCAGTGTCTGAGCGTTCTTGTTCAGCCAGCAAATAAGAATGATTTCACATTTGTTAATGGTTGTGTGGCGGGGCGGGGGGGGGGGGGTCTTTCATAGTCATATAAGATACTTGATGATTATATGAAATTTACAGTATCTGGGAAGCTCTCCTGAGAGGAACCACACCCGTTTTCCAGGCATACCCATGCTTCTCCCATGCATGAGGGCAGAGCGAAGTTGCACCCACAGTGACCCATGCTGCATGAAATGCGAAATACTTACACTTCGTCCATACAGAATGTTTTTTAAGAAAGTTGCCTCTGGCCTATGTCAACTTGACAATCAAAGAGGCAACTTATTAAAGGGCCTTGAGAACAGGTTCGTTCCTCGCTGTTTTGTTTTCTTTCCCAGCACCTACCACAAATCCCCTCCCTTAGTAATCTCTGAAAAAGCAAATGAGAGTCTAGGGAGCTGTGTAAGCCAGCAATGTGCTCATTTCTCAGGCATGAAGACCTGAACAGGGTTCACAGAACCCACATGAAAAGATGTCGGGCATAGTGTACACTTTGCAATCCCAGCCCTGAGGAGAAGGAGGCAGGAGGATTGCTGGAGCTCACTTGCCTGCTTAGTTGGTGAATTCTGGTCAGTTAGATACCATTTTTCATCGAAGATGGATAGCACTGTTGAAGATGGCACCCAGGTTGTCCCCTGGCTTCCACACACATGAGCACATACACACACACAAACACACATACACACACACCCCAAATAAAAAAAAGAAAAGGCTAATGAAAAAAGGAACGGATTGAAGAAACAAGTCTTTCCATATGATTCTTTCTTGAATAACCAAGAATTTCATCAAAATATAACCTAGTGGTAGTTGGTAGAAGTTTTGAGAAGACTGCTACTGTCAATATAAGCCTAACAAGCCAGGGTCTTGAGAGACAATGATCTGATGGTTCCCAGGGCTACCTTCCTTGAAACATTGCAAACCACAGTGGGAGGTGGGCAGCGCCAGCATTTCATCAGGGCATGCCCAGTTTTGCAGGTGGATAGATGTACAAGAGAGTGTCCTAATTCCTTACAGCCCCCTAAATTGTCTGAGCTGCTCAAGGCCATAAAATCAAGAATCAGAAGATGAAGCACCAACTCATCAAGACTGAGCACCAAACCACTGAAGACAGGGTGCACTGCCATGAAATTGTTTTATGATTGCTATGGTCTGAATGTCCCTTAAAATGGACCTGCTGATACCTAGTCAGCTATGTGACCGAATTAAGAGATGGGGCCATTGGGAGTTGATTAAGGGATGAGGACAAAGCTTCCAGGATGGGATGAGATTGATGAGGTTGCTATAAAAGAACTTCAGGGAGAAAGTGAACCCCTGCTCCTTGCCCTTTCTGCTGCATGAAGATGCAGCAACAACACATCTTAGCAGCAGTTGGCCTTGCCAGATATTAAGATCATGTGTACACAATCCTTGGGATTCCTCAGTCCTAGAACGGTGATAAATAGCTTATTTGTTACAGATTACCCAGTTTTGTTTGCTTTTTGTTTTTTTGTTTTGGTTTGGTTTGGGTTTGGTTTTTTTTTCTTTTTTTGGTTTTTTATGGAAATACCCGGCTTCTGTGATCAGCTGGCTCCAATGAGTCAGAGAGTAAATGTGGGTCGTTAGATGTAACACAACCTGGGAGAGCACATAAGTAGGCAGAATGGCACACTCCCAGGGACATCTCCAAGCTAGGCTTCTGAGTAACATGGATAGGGAAAGCATCTTTGCAGCCTTCTGTTTCTATTGTCTTTGCTTCTGAATTGGATCAAATCTACAAACAGACCAGCTAGAGATGGTGACAGTCGATGGACTTATTTAGTGACTGTGGGAAATCAGTGGCATTCACCAGGCCCAGAGCGTCAACGATGAGCAGAATTCCCTTCTGTCTTCAAACTGGAAGTCTGTTGACTAAAGAGGGGCAGACAAAGAACAACGGAGCAGAAGGTTGAAGAGAAGGCGCAGTGCCTGACACACGGGCATAAATACCCGAGTTCGTTGCACAGTGTGCTCAGAAAAGCTGGGCATAGTTGTATGAATCCATAACTCTGGGGCACGACAAAGAAGTGAAAACAGACAGAAGGAACAGCAGAGCTTGCTGGCCATCCACCGTAGCCTATGGGTGAGCACCAGGTTCCGTGAGAGATTCTGTCTCAAAAGATAAGGTGGAAAACAATCAAGGAAGACGTGATACCAATCTCTGGCCTCCATACACATGTGCAAGTGCACATTCACTCAGATACACACACATACACACACACACACACACAGAGGGGGTGGCTAAATGCTATAAAGTGCCATACTCATGTATCTTCTTACATTCCTAACACACCCACATCCATCACCCCCCAGCCACACACCCCTGTGTGGGATAATCTTTTTGTACACTATGAAGATGTGTCTCTGTCAATGCATCTTCTGATTGGTTTAATAAAGAGCTGAAC